GGTGGGGGTGGGGGGGGAGTGAGTAAATTCTGATTAATCTATGGGCAAACAATAATGTCTTTGTGGAGTTGTGATCGTTCCCTTGTGAGCTAATTGGATTAAAGTTTGATCCTTTTAAACCTCTAGAAGTAGAAGCTGATCTTTGTGAATGCTCCACTGATTTGCAATGCGTTTTCTGACTTGTATTCCTCGGTTCTGTAAGAACAGTTCTCGCCTCATGAAACCCGACCTGAAAATTTGGCGTTTTCTTTCTGCGAATTGGCACCCGAGCTTCGTCGGTTAGAACCCTCTCTATTGCTGCTCCAAAACTCAACTTAGTTACTCTGTTTTGTTTTTTGTTTTTCCACTTTTGGTCATGTTGGCGGTGAACAATGTGACAAGACTGTTTACTAAGACCGTTCCATCATTTGGGCATTATCCATGGACTCGGGGGAACAACGCCCATTAATAGCAGTGCCGGAACTGGAGCAGAAACTGTTGCAATATTTTTTCAGTTGGATGTTGGTAGGATGTCCTGTCTGATTTTGCATCATACCCTAATAATTGTTCTATAAACTATGAAGTCACATGCCTTTGTTCCTTTTGATAGATCCCTCACAACTCAGCTTGCTCTGTGCTCCTCATTGGCACTTTGCTCAAAAAAAAAAAATCCATTAGAATCAGCACATGGACATGTCTGATACCATCTTTACACTAGGCTGGGCGTTTTTATCCAGAACCCCACAAACCCGCGGATATCTGACTTACGGATATCCGTTACAAATGAGGCCGAGTACGAGAAATCTGATCTGCGGGTTCGAATCTGGATTTTAAAATTAGATGAAGGGATACCTCGGGTATCATGTAAAATGAAAAAAAAAAGACAGAAATACCCTCTAGTTAAATATTTGCAAAATACCTAACTAGTTTTTATTGTACAATTTTGTGTGCGTTTTAATATTTGCCTTGTATTTCTATTTGTATTGTACAATTTGAACAGCTTTATATGCATTTTAATGTTTGTATTTTGTAATTTGTAGAAAAAAAAATATGTATTTAAGACTATTATTTATGTTTGAATAATAAAAACTCACGTATCCGGATATCCGAATTCAAACACGGATATCCAGACTACCTGATATCTGGTTCTGGCGAGAACGAGATCGAGATAATCTTTTTAAAGAACCCACAAAACCGAAACCGAAACCGGATATCCTAACGCTCCGAGATATCCGTCTGCACCGACCTCTACTTTACGCCTTTGTATATATGTTTTCACAGACACCAAGGAAACTAAGCCATATTAGCCGTAAAGCTTTGGTTCTTTGATCTATCCGACCTTCCGCTCAACGAGAGCACGAAACCTTGGATGGTGTTGAGTACACTGTGTCTCAGATTCAATGTTTCTTTTGATGCAAATATAAGTTGGTAGCTTCTTTAGGCAATTCTATGTTCCCAATGTGTCAAAATTGAGAACCTTTTTTCCCCGTTGGAGTATAGAACTTTGGGTGGGTTTAGGACTTCCCATTAAGTATTCTATTTAGAAACTTGAGAAGAGGGTTAAGGGATTTCACCCTCTACCTCACCATCGCCGCCCAATGCCCTCATCTCCTCGCTTTCCGCCTCATCATCTCTCTTTCTTGTCTCGCCCCCTCGCCTCAGCTCATCCTCTCAATGCTCACCGATCTGATACCCGTGGGTACCTAAACATTTGGAGAACATTGCGGATACCCGAAGCTCGGGTTTCCAACTCTCACAATTCCGAGATTGGATATTCAGACCGAGAAATTTGAGCTTGCAAGACCGAGGTCACGTGCCATAAAGAAACCCTCGATCCTTTGAGTATTCTCTGTTTGCTCTTCGTCTCAAGCCCATTCCACAAACTACCCCTTGAAATCCGGAAGAACAAAAGAGGTTGCATTGATGATCATCAAGTTTTCAATACGAATCGGTAAATTCTTCAAGTTTTCAGGTTTACGAAAACTCGAAACGGTGATCATAAAGTTATCCTAGTTTCCAGTAATTTCTCACATTTACCAGCTCTCGAAAAGGTGATGAATCACAACCAAAAGCAAGAACCCAACAAAAGTGCAGAAAAAACAGAGGAACAACAGTGCACAGTTTGGTTTAATTACGTAAGCAACAAGAAACGAATATAATAAACGTTTTTCACATGACGAATTAAGAAAGAACTATGGCTTCTACGTAATCTATCACGTGTTATCTTGTGATTCACGGTATTTAGTTAGTTATGTATCCTAAGTTTGGGTCTCAAGTTATTATTTAAACAAAGCAAAATTAACGTAATGTTTTTTTGTAATCTGTCTATGGGGCGAAACTCAGACTAGTTACAGGATCGGGAGCAAGTCATGTGATTGAAATTACGTTTCCTTCCCCAACTTGAGGTTCGATATGGGATAGACGTTTTACGCCTCCATTTCACCGGTTGAACTAAGTTGGGTCTCGGTGCATATTTGTTTTTCATCAGACAAAGCCAATGTAAAGAAGAGAAAAACAAATAACAAAAACAATAGTTAGCTTTTAAAATAAGCATTTCATATCATAATGTGAAATTCGACCGGGAGGTCTTAATTAAGAATTCAGACATGTCGAGATGCAGAAGCAGATAAAATGGTGAGGAGGAGCAAGAGAACAGACGCGACGAGGGACAACGCCAATGAGATAGTGACACGTCGGCAGTAATTCCCGACATATCCGCATATCGGAATCCAACCGGTGTGTGAGTTTCCGTACTTTCCGATGTATCCTTCCGCCGTGGCCGCCGAGAACGCCGTTATCGCCACCACAGTCACACACTGCATGCAATCATTATATATATGCATGGGTATATATCACAATTGATGCAACAATGGGTTCAATAGAATGAAGAAAAAAAAACCCTAATAATTATGATCAAACCCTAAACAAAAACAGTTTCCCATGAAAAAGATCTTGGAATGAGGAATCCACAGAGGATGGAGAGATTACCAAATCATAGAGAAAGAGGGCAAAGCCTCCTCCTGCTTTGCGTGAGCTACACGCGCAAATAAGCGAAACCAGAGTCGCAGCTGCAATCGCTATGTTCGCATACGCAAAATACCTACCAAAGGACGAACAATTACAATATATATATATATATATATATATGGATTAATACGAAGATTTAGATTCGGTGCACTACAAAAACACACGTACGCAACAATTGCCAATGGAAAAGTTTCATGGCTAGTGAGTGTTTTCAATGAAATAACAAGGAAAATCATTTTGTTGCTAATAGAACAGTTGCGATTTTGAAATCATTGTTTTTTATTCGAGTATCTGACAGGAGACTGTCTTTCACCAAATTTAAAATTCGAATTCGGGATGGGACATACGTTAAACTCTACTTGTTTCACCGGCTGACCCAAGTTTGAATGCGAAATCCATTGTTATTTTCTCACCACAGACAACGAAAAGGTAAATATATATAAATAATTTTTTAACTCAATTTCGTTGTAAAAACCATTAAGAAACAAGGATACCCATGTGAGAAAGGAGAGAGATTTACTTGAAGGAGGGAGAGTAAGAGTATTTAGCAGCAAAGGAGAAGCCATAGAGAGAGGCGATCTCATGGTTTGTCATCGTGAGCCATGCCGCAGCAGCGGCAGCTCCAGTGGCTAACACCCTCAACGACACGGAAACCCCTAAACTCATTGTCTTTCTGCACTTTATTATCCCTTCTTTAATCTCGCATTACACACAAAAGACGGAGATCTTCTTATCGGGGGAGACAAAAGAGATGAGGGGGAGAGAGAGAATTAGGGTTTGAGAAATAAGAAAATAAAAAAAGAGAGATTTTTTTTTTCTATTGTGGGAAAATATTATGTGGAGGATGAATTTAACTTGGTGAGAGTCAGACGCAAATTAACAAAAGATTTGGGATGATCGAATCTTCTGCCTAAACATATGGGCTTCTCAGTTGAAGCCTTTGAATCTGGTATACATACACATATATATATATATATATACGCATATGCATATAGGGACCTTTATTTATTTTTTTGTTAATACAATTTTGGTATTTTTGTTAGGCTGGATTCTCTGTCTTTTTTAAGGAGGTGGCTATACTCCATTTCTATTGGATAACTCCGTAAAGTTCCAAATTTGGTTAATAAATATGTGTTGGATAATTACCGAAAACAATAAAATAAATAAATATTGTCGATGACCCTTAATTTGGTGTACCGAACATTAAATTCGTATATTAACAATTAATCTGATTTTAATAGAATATACATACAGATTTTTTTCCTACTAAAGAAATGGAAACAAAAAAAAAAAAGGAATGTACAGATTCCATGCCCATATTGCAGATAAGATTGCGCTGTCCATTCCAGTTGGGATTATGTAAAATGGGTGTTGAACCCAACAATATATTCTTATCGCTGGATTAAATTGATCTAATATACAATCGGACCATTTTTTTTTTAAATTTAAATTAGGTATAAAATAAGATTCTTCAATCCTAATAAAGCCCTAAGCCATAAATCCTGTGTCAAATCAAGAGTCAAATGCCTTTTGAAGATTGCAACTTTATACTTCTCATGAACCGGAAATCAAAATGTATCCAGAGACCCAAAAGATGTTATTACATTTGAATATGGGAAGAAGAGTGAATTCAAGAAACTTTTTCTTATTTCCCCCTCAGGCCAAAATGGAGAAATCTTCCCCGACAACCCTGTTTGTAGCTTTCTTTGCCTGAACAAGAGAATAAAACCCAAACCGACCGTATCAGCAGATTTCACACCATCGATTTAAACAAAGGATGAACGACGCAAATTCATCGTGATAATAATAATAAGGGAAATCGCCAAAAAAAACCCTGTATTTTTTTCAGTTCAACAAAAAAATCATATACTTTTTTGCTTACCAATTAAATCCTATACTTGATATGATTAACCCATAAAACCTCAAACTTTTTAAAAATTCACAAAAAACCTCTACCTACTCAAACAAAAATGACGATGTAACGGTTTCCAAATCATGCACACATCATCATAATATGTCACATCATCTTTTCAAACAAAATTTAAATTAAATAATTTATTTAACTTATATATATACATATAAATTTACACATATATATATTAAAAATAAAATTATTTATAATTAATAAAACACATATACACATAACTACAACATATATGTATATTATAACTAATACATATGTATTAAAATAACAGTAATTATAATTAATTTTATATATATACATAATATACATATTAAAATAAAAATAATTATAACTAACATATATACATATAATATATATAAAAAATAATATGTATATGTATATATATTAGTTATATATACAACACATATATATATACAACTAATATACATATTAATATAAAAGTAATTATAATAAATATATATACATATAATATATCTATTAAAAATAATATGTATATGTATATATATTAGTTATACATACAACATATATATATATACAACTAATATACATATTAAAATAAAAATAATTACAACTAATATATATATACAATATATATTAAAAAATAATATGTATATATATATATTATTTATAATATAATTTATAATATATATATTGTAGATATGTATATATGTGTTTTATTAATTATAAATAATTTTATATTTATTATATATATATATGGGAATTTATATGTATATATATTAATTTAAATAAATTATTTAATTTAAATTTTGTTTGAAATGATAATTTGGTATAATTATGTTGATGTGTGCATGACTTGGAAGCCATGTCATTGCAACATCATCATTTTCTGTTTGAATTGACAGACGCGGTGGTTCTCTGTGAATTTTTAAAAAGTTCGGGATTTTATAGGTTAATCGCACCAATATAAGATTTAACTGGTAAAACAAAAAAATACAGGATTTTTTCATTGATCTAGAAAGAATATATGGTTTTTTTGGCGATTTATCCTACTACTACTATTATTAGTATTAATAATAATAATAATAATAATGATGATGAGGAAAAAACCCCTAAAAAAACCTTCAACTTACAAAAAATATATAAATAAACCTTTAACTTGTAAAGTTGTCATTTAAACCCCAAACTTGCAACATTTAACTGAATAAAATCTCGAACTTGCAAATTATTGCTTTGATAACCCATTGACCGGTTTGACCACAATTTCAGGTGATCGAAAATCCATGTTGGTCCGAAAAGCTGATGTTAGTGTGTCCACGTAACCAATTTTAAATGATTTTTTGCTCCAAAACTGGATTTATTTACTCGCAAAACCGGATTAAATTTCAACCCAAAAAATATTGATGTGGCAAAAAATCATTTAAAGTCGGTTATGTGGACACGCTGATATCAATTTTTCGGGTCAACATAGATTTTTGATCACCTGAAATTGAAATCATAATCAAAACGGTCAACAGTCTGAAATTGTGGTCAAACCGATCAACAGGTTATTAGAGTAACAATTTACAAGTTCGAGATTTTATTCATTTACATATTACAAGTTTGGGGTTTAAATGACAATTTTACAAGTTATTTGTATATTTTTTTGCAAGTTGGAGATTTTTTAGAGTTTTTTCCTTAAGAATAATAATAATAATAATAAGGATACGACCCGAATAAGAATTTTAAAAAAAAAACCTCACCTCTTCATCCCAATTTGTACGTACGGTGATAAGTGAGAGGCAGAAAACTTGAACAAAGAGGGCACATATGATCCCCAACCAAAGCCCCTGTGAACAGACAAGACTTTGCGCTTATGCTTTTTTTCATGTCCTAAAAAAATGCCTAATCTGTTTTCTAATGGCAGGATGGAAATCATGGAGGTTTAAGTACACTATGTGAATTTGAAGACAGATTCGACTTTCTTATAGATCCATCATGCATGATCAACAACAAGCGAAATTGGTAAAAACAAAAAAGAAAATGGATCAAATTGTGAGGTTGATCTTACCCGCCCACCGATTTGGAAGAAGAACCCGAGTAACAATCCGGTTGGAATTCCGACCAGATAATATGATCCGAGGTTCACAAACGCTCCAATCTTCTGCCATCCACATCCTCTAGCAACCCCTGAAAACCGGAGATCGGGGTTAGGTTAGTGGTTTGTGGATTGCTTTGCTTGCAAGGCAAGTAAGCAAGTTAGATTTCGGTTTGATAAGTTTAATGACCTGAGAGAACGCATTGGAGGCTGTCTAGGAAGTTGGATAAGGCGAGAATCGGCATCATTGTGGCCACGTATCGGACAACTTGTTCATCACTGCTGTAAGCGTATCCCCAGATGTTTCGTATCAGTAACAAAACAGATCCAATCAGAATTCCGTCGAAGAGGGCGATAATTACGACCACTCCAACGGCTAACTTCGCAACTTCGGGGTTCCCCGCTCCTAACTCATTGGAGATCCTCGTGCTGTCAGATTCAGACCAACGAAAAAACAGAAGATTTGGTACGGATGTTTTATACTATTTTCAGTTATATGATCTGAATTGGTGATTGAGACCGACCTCGCAGCGCCACTGAGTCCAAAGGGGATCATCCAGACCGTCGCGACGGTGTTAAGGCTGGAGAATTTGCGATATTCGGATGAGTATAGTCGTAGAGAAAGCTAAAACAAGAATTAGTGTGAGTAAAGGAAGATAACGGTTCTTACCAGATGGAAAGAACAGAAGTTTCTAAGACAGGGTTAGGGAGAAGGCCTGACAAGAGAACAAGAAGCTCAAACGACCACATCTCCAAGCTGTCCGGACGCAATCAAAACATGTTTCAAGGATCTCAGAATGCATGAAGAAAGAAAGATGCTCAAAACAATCATATGAAGATCTCTCTATTACCAAACCATAAGCGCAGAAGGAACAGCGAGCTTTACGAAGGGGAGGACGTCGCGGAGAGCCTCCACGGAGAAACCTGTCCAAGTTTCAGAGCAAGAAGGCGAGAACTTGACGTAACAAGACAGGAGAACGACATTAACCCAATACGAAACAGAGTTTGCCAGAGCAGCTCCTTTGTGACCCATGTCAGATTTCAGCACCAAGAACCAACACAGAGCCAAGTGTTGCAGAGCAGTGATTCCTGAGAACAAGACAAGAGGGAAGACATTGTTCTGAGCCTGCAAGAATCTGTTGAGGCATTGAAGAAGACCGTAAGCGTAGAGGCTCGGGACCATGAACAGGGCATAAGATCCCGCGTATTTGGAGATGGATTCGTCTTGTCCGAAGAGTAAGAGGAGATGCTCTGTTTTAGCCCATATGATTGAGAGAGGGACACTGAGAATGACAAGGACAAGCATTGCTCTTTGCATCTGTACGCCTAACATATTGTACAGTTTTGCTCCATATGACTGCCCACATAGTGTATCTAAGGCGCTTGCCGTTCCCATCTATTCATTAAAAAAACAGATGATATCATAAAAAAATAATGAATTATTTTATTAAAAAAATTCTAATTTATTATACTAACACAAAAATAAAACCTTTTAGTTTAAATTCATCATAAAAAATCCCAAAGTATAATATGTACCAAAAAATCCTTAAACTATCATACTTATAAAAAACACTTATATTATAAACTAGGCATACAAAAATCATTAAGTTAGCTTTTTGAGTAAATAACTGCAGGTATATTTATTCTTAATTAGAAAATGTTTTTTGCCACACACACTAAACCGTCATTATATCAAAAATACCCTTAAAATGCTACTTCTACTTCAAGACCTACCCTGGTCACATGTGACCAATGTGACCGAAATATAGTATGGTTACATTTTGATTTTTATCGATTATAACGTTAAATTTATGGTGATCACACTAATTCATTATGTTCATACCTTGTATATCTTACTAATCATTTGATTAAAACATCATAAATTTAACGTTATGAACAATGAGATCAATATGTGACCACACTATATTTCGGTCACATTGGTCACATGGTCACAAGGGTAGGTCTTGAAGTAGAAATAGCAAATTAAGGGTATTTTTGATAATGCCCCCACTAAACCTAATCCAAACAAATAAAAAATATACAATGTTTAATTTACTATTTTTCTTATGCATCTTATAAAATAAAAAGAAAAACAAGTAATCTAATTTTCACTGATAAAAATATTTAAAATTTAAAATAAAATATAACAATTAAATAATTAAGATTTTAGATGTACCATTTTGAAAAGTTGAGAGTTTCTTTTTTATATAAATATGGTAGCTTGCTTTTATGAATACATAATAAATTCGAAGTTGAAGTTTTTTAAATATCAATGCAATAGTATAAGGGTTCATACCAAAACAAAATGCAATAGTATAAGGGGCTTTAGTATGATAACTCAAAAAATAAAATAAAATTGCACTCAATATAATTTCTACAAAATAAATTTATTTTTCAAAATAAAATAGAATCTGAGTTCAAACGGCCAAATCAACACATTATGTTGGATTTTAAAAAAAAAAGAGAAAAAAGGAGAGAAAAAAATTGTCTTTTTCTCGGTGGGATATTTGATATATGTCACGTGAAAACAGGCTTTATTACATTTTTATTATTTTTCCATGTTACATGACATCATTTTGGCACCTTGTGTTTTGTGGTAGAGAGGATATTCGATACGCAACTCCAATATTCAATGAAGACGGCCGTTGTTCCATTTGGTCCACACAATATAATCCTATGAATGGCCATTAAATTTTTAAAAATTATATAAATATCCTCAACTTATCAAAATATTTTATAAAGAACTTTAAACTTATAAAACATTTTCAAATTAAATCTTTGACCATTTTAACCAAATATTCCCGGGACTAGAACACTTTGATAAGTCAATGATATGTGTATACCTTTTTCTTAAGTTTGAGAATTTTTGTTATAAATTTCAGTAAGTTTGATATTTTTTTTTTGGAAAATTTTCTTATATATAATGCGAGAATCATCCAATCAAATTTCACACGAATATTTAGAATTCATCTTATAAAATAACATATAATTAATTATTTTATTAAACATATAATTTTAAAAACCAAATTAACCAAAGTTTAAATCAACAAATGAGAAACAAAATAAAAATAAATATTTTTGTAATACAATAAAATTCAAATAGAATTAAACAAATAAAAAAATTGGTTATTAAAAATTGTATGGATTATAAAATTTTATATAAAAATTGTATGGGTTACAAAATCTTATAGTTCCTATGATTTGACACATTTAGTCCGTTATTTTGCAAGCTGCTTGCGCATTATCTTAAATAAAAATAATGTACAACCATCAAAATAATTTTGCTAGATTGTTTTTTACGCATAAAATAATTTTGATTTGTTTAAATCGTATGGATTACAAAATATCCGGCTTACTAATCAACCCCCACACACACCACCTGTTATAGAAAGGAAAAAAAAAAACCTTGAAAAAGACATTGAAAAATCCAAATCTGTGTCTAGAACTACAAATTAAAATTCGATTTATTGGTTAAACTTTAAGAAATTTTCGAATGAGGAGACATTCGAAGCTTGTGGTCGGAATAGTTCTGGAATTCGAATCTAAAGATAACCATACGAATAGCATATTCAAGCAAAATCTCCCCACGATTCGGGAAGGAGAGAGAGAGAGAGGAGACGTACGAGGAGAGAGAAGCCGGTGACGGAAGCGAATGACGTGGCAACGGAGGCGGCGGAGAGAGGGAGAGATCCGAGATGTCCGACGAACATGACGGAGATTAGTTGCAGAGAGTACTGAAGCAAACTCACTCCTATCAATGGCCCCGACAACCATACCTGCCTCTTCACTTCCTCTCTCGCTGTCCATTTCTTCTTCCTCTCCTCCCCTCCCGTCAACGGCCTCGCTGATTCTTCCGACCACCTCTCCATTTTTTTCCCCTACAAGGTCTCTGGATCGTAATTTGATTCACCAATCATCTTATGTTTTTATATGTAAAAGATAGATCCCGACAAAGGGGATGTGATGAGAGATATAGGAAAAATGACAATTATGTCCATATTTAAAGAAAATATTAGTTTTTTTTTTAATTGTTAGAATTAAAAATGGTCACACGATTATTGTTATTATTATTATTATTAAATACGAAACTTAATTTTCTATTCTGATTAAATATGCTACCTGATTTAGATATACGTGCAAAACCAACATTCGTATTCATATTAATAAGCCAACACAATACAATCTCTACTTCAAAAAATATTACTCTCGACTTCGAAGAGGAGAACCTCGAGCAACGGAAGTAGGAGTGGACACACGTCGTTACCCTGATTTTTTGGGTATCCGGATTTTATTTTTGTCTTCACGGGTTTTAAAAAACACTATCCCGTTTTTATTTTTGTGAATCTCGTATACCCGCGGCCAGTGGCAGATTTAGAAAAAAATATAAGAGAAGACATGAATTTTATACAAATAATTTTATAAAACCAAATGTCATTTAATGGGGGTATTGGATAGTTTTCTTAGTAATTTTATAAAATTTATACACAAATTTTATTATTATTTTAATTAGAATGGAGTCTGTGTCCCCACTCCTCACCAAGTAGATCCGCTTCTACCTGCGGTTTAGATGTCCGTTGTTAAATTCAACTATCCAAAGATACTCGAATTCATCAAAATCGTAAAAAAATATTGATTTTCATCAAAATCGTAAAAAAATATTGATTTTTAAACGGTTCCATAATTGTCCATAGCATTAATTGATCAAAAAAATGAGTTGACGATCTGACGTGACGTGTGATGTGGCGAAGCAACTCAGAAAATTACTGTACGTATGCAATTTCTGATTTTTCGAGAAACCGGCTTTAATCTAACGTACCAAAAATTATATACGTGGTAGTAATTTTCTGAGTTAGACTCGTCAAATCACAAGTCCATAAATTTTTAGGGTTTTTTTTCTATTTTTTTAATTCTAATTTTGATGAGAGGATTTTAATTTTTTTTTTGGGTAAATAGACTTAAAAAAAGTTCATAGTTTATATAAAGATTTTCCCTTTTCCTATGTGATCGAATCGAAATTGCTGTACCGAAATTATAAATCGAACCGAACAATAATTTCTTAAGATGTTGATTTTTGAAAGGTTGTGCTTCTTGTTCGGGATGAAATGGAATTTTCTAGCAAGGACAAAAATACTAAAACCGAAGATTGACGTGGCGAGCAGCCTCACCACTGGTTCTTTGGTCCGAGTTTCCACTTCGAAGCAGAAGCCCCGATCATCATTAGACCCTCCTCCTCGGTTGGTCTGCTGCTTCTTCGCGAGAGCTCTTATTCGATTTTCATTTCACCTAGGAACGGACCTGCGGCTAATATGCAGTGTTTCGATTGAACCGCAGGGTTTATGGGTTCTGGGTCGGGTTCGGATTCGGATTCTAGCTCGGCCGCCTGGAGCCGGGCTCGTGGCTTTGTCGTCAAGGCGCTCTTCCTCGCCGGAGGTGCTCTTCTTCTCAAGCGTCTCACAAAGTCCACCACTCGTTGGGACCACGCTCGCGCCGTTGCTCGCTCCCTCAGCGGCGAGAAGGTTTTGTTCTGTCCTACCCAATTTCGCTCCCTGATTCCTTATTCGTAATGATAAATTTTGATTTGGGGTTATTATTTCCTTGACAATTTCGATTTGGGTTTCGGATTTCAATCTGGTTACCGATTTTTCATTGTCTTCTCAAAAGAATTTCTGGTACGAGGTGTTTGTTCTTTCTGGTGTTTAGTTTTCGAGGGAGCAAGCGTCCAGGGATCCTGATAATTACTTCAACATAAGGTTTGTCTTACTCTTTCTTTATGAACTTACCAAGCACGCAATAGACTAGGTTTTGAACTCTTTAGTGCTTCTAAACTCGAGTTCTTAGGTGTGATCTGTGTCTTAGTTCCGGAGATATGGTAGCGAAATGGGTTTTCCTGTAGAAGTTTTCAGGATGGGATTCTTGATGTTTGCCAGTGCCACGCGGAGTTTACGCTCTATATCATATGGTACAGGCTTGTCCTCCGGAATTTATGCTTGGATTGGATTTGTTCAGGAATTCCGTTTTTGAATTGTTAAGTAATTAGTATGTTCTCCTTTGGTCCCAAGTTCGTGCTTATGTTTTTCATGACGGGCGTAATGAGTTCCTTGGAGGAGCTCTTTTCATGTGATTTTACCTCCTCTCGTGTGAACAAATGTTGAAAAATGTGCTTTAAGCCTTTAACTTTCGAAGTTTTGTCCAGAATGCTAACCTGCCGGGCAGCTGAGATGGTCGATGGTTCAAAGGTTTTATATTTTGAACAGGTTGGCTCAGATTCTTTCCTGCTTTACTTGAAAATTCACGGTCTTGTATGGTTGTCATCCTCCACACTAAGCCATCTCCCTTTTGTCTGCAGGCTTTTTGGAGGACTCCTCAGAAGCCCTTTCGCCAAGTATGTGATCGCCCTTTGTAACGGTTTCTCTTTTGTCCTTTGATTCCTCCCGAGCCAAAATCCTTCATTTTTTTTTACGCAAAACCCTGTCTTTGTTTCTGATGCAGAGATTATATGTGGTTAAGCCTTGTCCAAAGGAACTGAAATGTGATGTCGAGGTGAGGATATGATCCCTCCTGCTTGTCCCCTTGTCAGTAGAAAGTTGTGATCTTCTTATGTTGTTATCCGGAGACTAGTTTTAAAGATTGTATCTTTATTCAATCTCAGGTAAGCTCGTATGCCATCAGAGATGCAGAGGAGTACAAAAATTTCTGTGACCGCCCAAAGGATCAGCGCCCACTTCCCGAAGAAGTTATCAGCGTGAGTCTTTGTTGAAACTTGCGGGTTCCACTGCTTGCAAATGCCATAGAAATCGATCTAGATTTTCAGTGGTTTTTGTCAATAGACTTGCCTAACATTCATCACATTACAGGACATGGGTGAGCATTTGACAACAATGTACCTCAGTCGGTGCGATCGTGGGAAACGATGTTTGTACGAAGGCTCAACTCCACCGGGTGGATTCCCGAATTCATGGGTATGTTCCAAAAACGCAACAAATTGGTTTTACACTCTTCCAACCAGGCAAAAGTACCGACATGGTCTGTGTCTCGTTACTTTCTTTTGCATCTTGAACGGAAGAACGGTGCTAGCTATTGTACATCTGATCTCACGGTTCTGAAGAACAATGAGATACACCTCTGGGATCGCGGCTATGATGATGACGGAAACCAGGTTCATCCAGTCTCTCCCTCTCTCTGTCAAAGACGACATGACAGAACTGTGATGTTTGGTTTTGGTTTCAGGTATGGGGCCCGAAGAGCAACCCGTATGAGTTCAAACCAACGCCATCCTCCTCCAGCGTCGAGGACTTGTTCTCACCTTTGAACATTCTTCCTCCTCTTCCCATCAACGATAAACCAATACAAGGATCCTTCATCTTGCAAGAACAGTGATTACCCTTTTTGAGTTTTTGTTTTCTAATATATATGCCACTTGTAACTGCATGCGAGAACCTGTGTTTATACGGTCATAGCAGCGTGCGTTATGCAGAAAAAGCTTGAAACTTTTCTCTTCGTTACGGTGGGAAAATTATCAGTTTTGTTCTGTTTGCTCCGTTATGGACAACTCGGGACCAGAACTTGAGTGTAGTGAATTCCATATTCCAAAACCATATTGTACGTGGAAGCGCGGAGCCGCGAGAGCTACAGCTCCGACCTCGATTGCGATGGGCAAACCCTTCCTGCCAAGGGACCGGATCTATCGATTTCTAATGAAGCAAAAAGATTCCGGCGCTATAGTTTTGGGCCGTTTTGATATGAAGTTTTAAAAGAGAATCTAACAAAGTTTCAAATGGTTTTACTGTCTATCCGCAAAGATTTCGAAAAGTTTTAACAACGGCAAGCCCTTTGACATTTATAAAAAAGAAAAGAAAATCCTTAAAACATCAGATAGGTATGGAACAATATGTTTTGTACAAACAAAAATGATCTGCAACAAATGATGGAGGATTCATGATTATAGGGATGGAGAATAAGAGCAAAAGGAATGGACCGTGGTTTCTTTCCCGTTCTTGTTATGAATCGGTTTCATCGAAAGAGGTAGCAGAAGCAGTGGAGTCCACCATCTCTCTGCGTGAAGCTTCCCAAAGCTGCTGCTCTATCCCCAGCTTCCTCAGCTCCACCATTCCTCTCTCCACTTCCCCCCATTAGTTTTTTTTTGAAATCATAAGTTTTTTTTCTACAATATCTAATTTATAAATGACGGAGCAATAGAAATCACGATATTGTCTTACCATCGACTGCGTCGTGTGACATCGGAGGTTGCCCTATACGGTTGATCCAAAACTGAAGACGC